CCCTGCTGGATCAGACCAGGGGTCCATCTAGTCCAGCATCCTGTCTCACACAGTGGCCAACCAGTTCCTCTGGAGTGCCAACAACAGGGCGTAGAGGCCGAGGCCTTCCCCTGATGTTGCCTTCTGGCTTTGGAATTCAGAGGATTAGTGCCTCTGAACATAGAGGTTCCCTTCAATCACCATGGCTAGTAGCTGCTGATAGACCTCTTCTCCATGAATCTGTCTAATCCTCTTTTAGGGCTATCTGATTCAGCTATATACATGCAGGCTCATCTGGTATCTGAACATAGAAGTGTGTGCGTGCGTGACCCCCCCCCCACACACACACACGCAGCAACTTGCTTCAGTTTGGGCTGCCACACCTCTGGTTATTTCTTTTTTGAAAATGCAGGCTTAATCAGTTGAATTATCGTCACAAAAGCTGGGGGGGGGGGAGTTGGACTCTCTGGTTTGCACTTGTTTGAGAATCGGAAGAACGGTATCTTGCCACCCATCTGTGATGCATGGGGGTGTGGGTCACAAGAGAATGGTTGACTTGGCTCCTTGAAAGAGCACAGGGAGGCTCCCAGAAATAGCCAGGACTTACAACACAACACCTTCAAAGCATTGCGTTCGTTTGCTCCAGTGTGGTGCAGTGGTTAACCGTGTAGGACTAGTATCTGGAAGACCCAGGTTCAAATTCCCACTCGACCTGGGTTCGAATTCCCACTAGTGCCACGAAAGCTCGCCAACCTTGGGCCAGTCACACTATCGGCCTGACGTATCTCACAGGGTTGTTGTGAGGATAAAATGGAAGAGAGAATGATGTTTGGGGCCCATGAGAGAGGAATGTAGGGTATAAATGAACAAAATAAAATTTAAAAAAATAAATAAAACAACCCTGTGAGGTAGGTCAGTATTGGCTCCATTTTGCCAATGCTGGGGATGAGCTTGAGAGTGTCTTGGTGGGTTCGTGCCAGATGCAGGATTTGAGCCGGCAATTCCTTGTCAGCGGCTTGGTGCTCTAATCTCTCTGGATGGGGACTGCTTCAGGCTGGGGTCTTTCAGTGCTCCCCCATTTGAAGAATCCCCCTATACAGAAATCTAGCCAGCAGGCAGAGAAGGTCTGAGTGAGGCTGTGAAGGGAAAATGTATATAGGAATTACAATACTTGGGAGAAAGGTTTGATCTTGACCTGCCAGTTTGGTGTAGTGGTTAGGAGCACGGACTCTAACCTGGGAGAACCGGGTTTGATTCCCCACTCCTCTACATGCAGCTGCTGGTGTGACTTTGGGTCAGCTACAATTTATCTCAGACCTGTTCTCTCAAGGGCAGTTCTCAAGAGAGCTCTCTCAGCCCCACCTACCTTACAGGGTGTCTGTTGTGGGGAGGGGAAGGGAAAGGAGATTGTAAGCCGCTCTGAGACTCCTTCGGGGAGTGAAGGGCAGGGTACAAATCCAATCTCCTCCTCTTCTCTTTATTCACACATGATAAACACACGCCTTTTATATTATTTATTTCTTCTTATTCACACATGTGATAAACACATGCCTTTTATATTGTTTATTCATTGCTGGTGTATGTAAAGGGATACACAGAGGAATCTTCGAATATCACGATGGAAATTATGGAGGTATTAACAGTGTTTTAGATTTTGTGTCCTTTATCCCCAGACGTAAGTTGGGGTGGGGTGGAGCAACCGGTCTGATTCCACCTCTGAGGTTTCGCTTTCTCCCCCCCTCCCCTCGGCTTTGCAGAGTGAGAGGTTCGAAGCAGAGGAACACACTACAGTGCGCCAGCTACGTCTACCAAACGGAAGGGATCCGGGGCTTCTACCGGGGACTCACGGCTTCTTACGCCGGCATCTCGGAGACCATAATCTGCTTTGCGATTTACGAGAAGCTGAAGAAGCACGTGAACAACATCCGGCTGTCCCCTTCCCCCTCCGGCGGGTCGGAGCGGAAGTCCACCAACTTTTTTGGACTAATGGCGGCAGCTGCCATCTCCAAGGGGTGTGCATCCTGCATCGCTTACCCACATGGTACGTGTGCCACCAGGGTAGCGGAACAGGGGAAAAAATGCTGGCATATTCCAGGGGCACAACTTGAGGAGTCCCCAACGTGGGGCCACAGTGCAGTGCCTCCAGCGACACCTTCCCTGGCGCCCAGCAGGTGTTTTGAGAAAGTGGGTGGGACCACATGGGGCTTTTGCCCAGTAAGGTATCTGATTGGTCCTTGGGATTTGATTGGGGAGGTATAGATTTTCTGAAAATGTTGCTTTGACAGCAGCTGTGCCCCCACAGCACGAGAATCTTCACTGTGTGACCGAAGGTCAGCCACGGCAGCCATGCTGTGTCAGAACGCCTTCCCTTTCATTTATTAGCTTCACTGACCAGAGGTCTTAAGCCAAACGTACAAACAACTACTGTAAAACATATTACATGTAATTACTAGATAATTTAGACCAAACATTTTTACAATAAAAATTAATAAACATACTCATAAACAGGGCTGTTTTGGGGCAGGAACGCACAGGAACGGAGTTCCGGCTGGCTCCCAAGTTGGCCACGCCCAGCAGGAACTCATTAGCATAATAGGCCACACCCAACAGCAGAAACTCATTAGGATTGGCTACATTAGGGGTGTGTGGCCTAACATGCAAAGGAGTTCCTGCTACAAAAAAAGGCCCTGGGTTTGGACAACAAACAAGGTAAACAGAATAAGAAGCAAAAGGTGGGTGTGGCTGGATGACCACACTTCTGGTAACATGGGAGTGCGGCCTAATGTGCTAATGAGCTGTGCTGTCAGGGTGTGGCCTAATATGCTAATGAGTTTCTGCTGTCAGGGTGTGGCCTATTATGCTAATGAGTTCCTGCTGGGCTTTTTCTACAAAAAGAGCCCTGCTCATAAACAGTATTAATAGACAACATTTTATAAACTTCCATAAATTCTATAAAA